ACTAGTGAAAATAACACATTCAATGTTTCTCTATATAGTGTAAGTAAGAAAAAAGGTATTTTACAGTATGACACAAATTGCTTTCATGCAATTATATGATAAATAGAATATTACATGGTCGCATTGGACCATGGTCGCACTTCCATCCACTTAATACCAACTCGATACACATTCTATCCACATTCGATACACATCCCATCCACTTGATACAAACTCGATACACATCCCATCCACTTGATACAAACTTAATACACATCCCAAAATTGTACTTACAGCTTGTGTTAGAAACAGGCAAAGATCTTGCCCCTTGTTGTCACTGATAAAAAAAAAATTAACGAAATGCAGCACAACACTGATGTAATGACTGAGGCAAAACTCAGGCAAAGTTCATTAATCAAGTCTTAATTATGTAAATCCTCAATTAATTTGAACACAATTTAACATACCCTGTGAATGAGACTGTCTTTTCATGCAGTAGAGTCAAGACAGAACCACCTTTACAGTTACCCTATAATCATTACAATCATATAATAAAAGTCTAATTCAACTCTGAAAAATGATATTGTCATCTGAAATGTTGTACCTTATCAATAGCAACAGCAATTGAAGACAGAACATCAAGGGTTCTTATGCAAGGYTGTATGTAGAACCAAAACTTCTGCAGGGAAAGCTGACCCTGAAAGAAAAAAAGTATTACTTATGTAGTTTTTTTAAAATCTAATCGACAAACATGCTGGTCTCCTCGCAGCCGTGTTTAGTTTGCGTGACACGTGACCGAAACTAAACACGGCTGCGAGGAGACTACAAACATGCAGACTTACAGATGATTAACATGTCGGGAATATAAATGGTTCTCAAGAACTCCTAGAATATATTATACGTTAAATAATATGAAATATTTGGTCAACTTACAAGTCTAAACTGGTGTTCCAATTGAGCTACTAGCACATAGTACTCCTTAAAAAAAATCAACAACAAGTGATTGTTAAATCTAACAAATGTKGTTAGATACACTTCATAATAGCACAACCAATTTCATACAAATGGAGTTTGACATTATATTTCATA